CAATAAAGATAGTACAGACAGGTTGCTGATTGATTTGTACCACAACGGGTTTAGCCCTCCGTATAGTGTGGAAAAGGTTGCCTTTTCCAGTAATTTTAGCGCCATGTTTGCTTTACTAAAGTTCGTCAATACAGCCAACATAAGTATATAACTGTCCTAGCGGAACGCTGTCTCCTTTGTAAACAAGCTTTTACCCTTCCCTCCCCTTCCCCTTCTACTCCTTTTACGTTTACTCTTCCCTTCCTGCTTGTTACCTGTCGTTACTAAGTCCTTAGTCTCAGTACACAGCGCAGCAGACAGACTGGTGTCGTGTCCAAACCAACCTGTGCGCGCTTAAAGCAAAGACTGGCCGGTGCCTAAACAGTTAAAGGGGCACGGAGCCATAAGTGCAAAGAAGAAGAAGAAGAACGTTTTAATTTTACAAAGTATCAGACGAGTTAATACAACATAGTTTTAGCGTAAAATGTATTAAAAATATCTGCAACAAGCGTTGTGAATGTGTGCATATAAGTGTACAGTAGGTTTTGTCTAACATGAGTCTTCTTTTTACAAGTAAAGAAGGTTGGATTATATCCCATTTGCAGTATCTCAATGAGATATATAAAAAGGTCTTAGTAGACAATAAATTCTACTCTTTAATCTTCAACAAAATGATTTTTGAAATAAATTCTCAGTACTTAAGACACAATCAGTTGGGACAAATTGTTCAAGACAATGCTGTAGTGCATAATAAAAGAAAGAGAAAACGTTCACAGTCATTGCCGCAAAAAGATTTAGAAGAAGTAAGTTAAAAGATACACAGTTAAATTTGAAGGTGAATTTGAGATAACTAAACAAAATAATTATTTAAGTGTAAATATTTATTACAATAGATTGATCATGTTAAACGGGAATTTGAAACACTAATATCTGCTGCAAAAGCCAAAGGATTCTTCTGTGAGAATGTATCTGTGGATAACAATGAAGCAGCACGTTTGGCGTCCCAGAAATTTTATCAGGACACTTACTGTCTCCAGGATGAAAACCTGTATGGCTCAAATGATACAAATAATGCTATCATAACCAAGGTTCATGATAAGAAATATGTTTTTCCAAGAAAATGTTCCTTTTATTGCTATGATGTGAGAGATATAGAAAAAAAGATGGAACTGAATAATCAGTATGACTTTATTCTGTTGGATCCACCTTGGTGGAACAAGTCAATCAGAAGGAAGAAGATAAAGTGTGCTGAAGCTAGGTAAGTTCTTAACTCAATTATGTGCAAATAGTAAATTTATATTAATAGTTTACAGGAAATTATTCTTGCAGTTATAAAATGATGTATAATGAAGAGCTAATCAAGATACCAATAAGAAAATTACTACATTCAAATGGCATTGTGGCTATATGGTGCACTAATTCATCTAATCATTTAAACAGTATCTTTAAGGAAATGTTTCCTTCATGGGGAATCACTTACAGAGCTAAGTGGTATTGGATAAAAGTAAGAAATTTTATAGAAATTTTCAATTTTTATATAAATTATTGTATGAGAGAGAGAGAGAGAGAGAGAGAGAAAACATAAATAACAAATTTATTTATTAGGTAACACAGAAAGGGGACACAATATGTAATTTTAATTCAGCACCTGGGAAGCAACCTTTTGAATTGCTAATATTGGGATCTGTATTGGAAAAAGATAAAATAAACATTCCTGATAACAAACTGATGATTAGTATACCTAGTGCTGTGCATTCTCATAAGCCACCTTTAACAGGTATAAAAAGCTAAAGTTAGAAAACCTATTCTATATAAGATTTCTGACAGTACATATTGTAAATTAAAAACAAACATATGATATTTCTAGAGATCATTAGAGAATACTTTCCAAATGAACCAAAATGTCTAGAAATTTTTGCAAGGTACTTACTGCCTGGCTGGACAAGTTGGGGCTTAGAAATCTTGAAGTTCCAACATCTGTCACTCTATGAAATTCTTGATGAAAATAAAGATGCTGAATATTGTGCTACTAAAGACACAAGAAATAAGGATAAGAGTAAAAACTAATCGTAAAAAAACAGATCTACAGATACACTTATAAATATGTAAGTTGCATAAGATAACGTATATTGATCCTTTATTATTATACATATTATGTACTTAATTTCCTCGATACATTTTGTTTGTTTTTGTTTTGAACATTACGATGTATTATTGTGTTCATTAACTCCGTTTTTCACTGAAGTTCGATAACCATGTGGATTCATTGTTTGCCACCTCCAGAAGTCTTGACCTAATATATGTATATATTATGTATATATTTAATATAATTATTAATTTTTATATAAAAAAATAAATTTTATATATTAAGATAATTTAGTAAAATTAAATTTACGTCAATGTTCACGCGGGCGCGTAGTTTTGACTTATTATCAAAATGCATATTTTAAAATACTTACACATTTGCTCAACGTTGTACTTTGCTATCCACCCCAGTTCTTGTTTTGCCAAATCCGTATTAGCATACATTGATACGATATCGCCCTCTCTTCTTTCTTTAATAACGTATGGCACTGTTGTACCTGTTACTTTTTCAAACGTTTTTATTAATTCCAATACAGTTACTCCATTGCCGGTTCCTAAGTTATAAACTTTTAGCCTGAGATGATGTTTATGTAGAGCATTTAATGCTGCCACGTGGCCAGCCGCCAAATCCATAACGTGGATATAATCGCGGACACCTTGAGAAGAATAATACGACATTTTTATAGGTAAATTGAACTGCATTTTTTATCTATTCATTATATTTGTTATAAAACATTACCTGTACCGTCGTTTGTAGGATAATCGCCACCAAATATCACCAGTTCTTCCTTATGCCTCAGAGCGACTTGAGCAATGTACGGCATCAGATTCGTAAACGGCTTCGTCGGATCTTCGCCTATTAATCCGCTGGAATGAGCGCCTACCGGATTGAAGTATCTGAGGCTTATAATATTCCAACTCTATAAAACACAAGAGAAATTCTCATAAAAATTTAAAAAAGATATAAAATAGAAAACAAGTAATTCGTTCGCGTGGAAAAATCAAAGAAACTAAAGATGTATACCAATTTATTTTAATTCTCAAATGAATATATATATATATATATATATATATTATATATATTTATATGCAAATATATAATAATAAATACACAAATATAGCGTAATATTGTTTTTTTTATTAAAACAAGTTTTGTTCAATAATTTATTGTATAAGTGTAAATTTTGAAAGTATTTGTAAGTTTCGAACTTTTTTTGTTCATGTATACCTTCTCAGCTCTAGATATATCCTTGAGCATCTCTTCAATGAAATATTTTGTTCGTCCGTATACGTTCGTAATATTTCCGGTAATGTGTTGTTCCGTGATAGGCAATTCTGTAGGCTCGCCGTAAACTGTACAAGAACTGCTGAATACAAGATGAAAACAACCAGCTGCTTTCATCACCTATAAGTATTTGTTTCCAGAAATGATCAAAATGCGCATACATTGTACATATATACAACAGATAATATTTTTTTTTTTACCTCCAATAAATTGATAGCTCCTATTATATTGTTTCGATAGTAATGAAGCGGAACTTGCATTGACTCGCCGACAGCTTTGATAGCCGCAAAATGTATCACGCAATCTATTTTGCGCTAAAAGAGATAAGTGAGTTTTTATGCGTTCACGAAACTGTAATTTAATTTATGACGCACAATTTGTCTATGTTTACATTGCAATATAAATATGATATATATTTTATATTATATAATCATATATAATATCTATGGATTATATTATATATAATATATAATATAAAAGAATGTGTTTTCTCTTATTAAAAAACGAATATCATACCTTGTTAAAGACTGTTTCGAGCTTCTCTTTATCAAGCAAATCGCAATTGTAAAACATGACTTTTTTCCCTGTTATTTGTTCGACTCTTTTCAGTGCCGCAGATTCACCGTCGACTTCCGTCACGCTGTTTGCGAAGTTGTCAATAGCCACAACGTCGTATCCACACTCTAAGAGTTCGACGATGCAGTGACTACCGATATAACCAGCACCTCCAGTTACAAAAATGGTCTTCCAGTCTCCACTCATTTTTCTGACTAAATGACAATATTTAATTTTTAAGTGATAGATTTTTCTCTCTCAAGATGTAATCTTCAGAGTTTTCCATAAAATATATCGTTTTATAATATACTGATTATTGTAAATGGCTTTTTTGATTTAAAAAAAAGTGATAAAAACGCTTAATTTTATACGCAGAACTTTTATCTACAGAGATGCACGCTTGCAAGCTGAAGAGTACAGGTGCTAGGACATTCACCTCGTTCAAGTGAGCAAAGAGAGTTCAAGGTCACCGAAACACGTGATAAATCATCGTAGCAAGAATTGCACTTCGACGAATTGTTAGAAACCTGCATATACGTGAGTATGCGAGATACAAAAGTTTTTATATTTAGAATTTAATTAAAACACAAAGATTAAAAACGAAGGGTGTTGGTTTAAATATTCGAAGTTTTTTAATGAGTTTCTAAAATATGTAAAATAAAAATCAACCATGATAAATTCAAGCAAAATGAAATATAATATATACAATTTTCATGTAAAGTTGTATTTTCGAGTGTGATTATACCGTAGAAGTTCATGAATTTTTGGTTCTCATTAACCTTGTACATGAAACGCGTAGAATTTTTCTTAAGGAGTCACATTTAACGGTATTCAAGATCACACAATCGTTACGTAGTGATTCACACTCCAGATTCAGATATATATATATATCAAACTTTTCACTGCAATAAATTTTCCTTTACGAATTACAACATCGCCATTAAATCAACTAAAGTTACAATTTTAATTTTTAGTAACAAATTAATTGTTGCTTTAATATTTGCGACATTAATTATTTAAATTTAAAAAGACAAGTGTTTAAGTTAAAGAATTGGATTAATGTCCTTGAGGTCAATTTTAAATTTAATTAAAATCTAACTGAAGAAGCTGATGCATTTTGTGCTCTTGTGATATATTGTAACGTCTCGATAAATTTATAGTGAGAGAGATATTATATATATATATATATATATATATATATATGTGTGTGTGTATACACTTTACACCTATTAATTTTATTATCTTGTTTTTGTACGAGAGATGTACATTTCTACAGATCATCATTAAATAATAAAATCTAAAATACCTGTGACTTCACTATCAGACAATTCAATGAAACGCAATCGATTTCGATCTGAAGGACTCTCGTGTACTTTCGCGCGACGATTGAGACCGACTGAAGGCTCTGTCTTGAATACTAGCTAGAGGAACGGGGAACTTTGGCACATCGTGGGACGCTCAAGACATCCCCTCCTTTATTCAGATTGTCCTTTCTTCTAACCGTTCTACAAAATATTCTCGTCTACAGAGTTTCTTCTCCTTTCACATTATATACCGCTTTTGTATCGCAAACGAAATTACGAGAAGCGACGAATGTTACTATCGTCGTCGCGTCAGTTGCATTCGCTACGTACAAAAGTATTACTGAAATAGAAAGCGCGGCTCATCGTCGACGTCTCGGTTAAGCAATCGACTGTTTGGCTCTGTAGGAACCTGTTTCGGGACAACTAATAACGTAATCACGTAAAACGAAAAAAAAGAAGATATCTTCCACTCGAGGAATGTGTTCCGATAGACCCCCATTATAGGGCAACGTGAAGTATTAAGATGAATAAAAACTAGGATATAAATCTTGGTCGTTCAATTTGTAACATTATTTTATATTTATTGCGTTGACAGTACTTGTATCAATTTATGTAATAATTCCTTTTGCTCAGTGTCAAAATAAGGATATAACTCGCTCTCAAGTTCCAATACCGCTTGATGATCGTGAGACTGGCAAGCCAGTACCAGGGATTGCAATAATAACAGTTCATCTTCGCTCATATTGAGTCCTGCAAAAAAATTCGCAGACGTATTTAATACAGAAATAATTAAAATATTGTATAAAATTACAAAGAAAATATATATGACATATAAATTCATAATATAATCCATGTAAAAGGATTATTTACATACCATTGTTCACAGTTTCTTCTGCCCATGCATACTTCTCGAGAACTTGGGCAAGAGAGGCTGTTAGTCTCTGGGGTGATGGCTGAAGAATGAGCAATAGAAGTAATCGTGTCACTTCGTACCTAGATCGTCGATTTTATTATACATTGCTGTTCGTATCAAAAACAGTACTTGTGCAAAATTACTGTGATGTATATACCTATGCAAAATAGCATTGTAGTTCCCTCTGGCACCAGCTGCAACACAAGCTTCTACAAACTCCACAAATTCGTTAAGGATCTGTAGTGCAGCTACATAATCTCCTAATAATATAAATATAGAACAAATAGTATATATATATTAATGTTAATATTAAAACAGTTTCAGAATATGATAATAACCTTGATTTATATGAAAAGATATTAAAGTCTTAATAGCTTTTGATGTAGGAAAGATATCGACTGCTTTACGCAGTTGTTGAATGCTAGCAGGATTTGAGCCCAATGCTAATGCAAGCTCTACTGATAAACTCGCAGAAACAATATTGAATCCCAATTGGTTGCTACATCTTATCATAGAGTGTCCAAAACAACTAATGGCTCCCTATATGCAGATAATTTTAGTTTTTATCTTATTTTCTCTCTCTTTATATATATATATGTATATATATACATATATTGTAAACTATGTATGAAAACCTGTATGTTTTCTTGACCTATGGAAGGACATCCAATATCATTGTTTTTCTTCTCAGCTGTAAGAAATTGTCTTCCTGCTTTCACTAGAAGATTGATTTCTGATGAAGAATTTTCTAATATGCCTTGACATCTAGCAGCCGCTAAGTAACATAAACCAGCATATTGCCACAATTCCCTTTGTTCGCATTCATTAGCTAAGGCACCTGAAATCAAATATCTTCGATGGACATCGGTTTTTTTAAACGTAATTTGGAATGTTTAAATCATATTGCACACAAAAACATCACACGCTACTGTATAAATTTTTATTATTGTATATTACTCACTAAATTGATCGCATGCCTCTGCAACATTTGGCTTTCTCAGAAATCGTCTAGGGAGTTAACAGAGAAATACAAAATTATCTCTCTAATAAAGTGTCCTTCGCGTAAATATTTACAATAAACAATATTTTAAAGGACTCTTACTTTTTTAGTTTATTCGAAATATTGTGAAACTTTGTTAAAAAGTCTATGGGCTCTCCTGTTCCCCGGCTTTGATTAATATGTGCCATTTTTTAAGCTGCTCTTTTTAAGAACGCTATTTATGGTCCAATGTGTGCATTTTTTTAGAGGATGTGTTTAAACTCTCCTCTTAAAATTGTTTCATAAAAAACTTTATTTTTTTCTCTCCTCTCGTCTCTCCTGCGGAAGAAGAGGAGACGCTCTCAGCGCCATCACGCACTGTAGCTCTGGAAATAGTGAACTAAACGTGAGGTCATGTGACGCGTATGTCACAATGGCGCGGGGGAGTTGTCATATGTTCAAACGTTGCGCGTGAGTCATACGTACACATGTATGTACAATACATCTGTAACCAAATATCTAATTTTAGATAATCGCGGCTTATTTTTTGAAGATATTTTTTTGAGATTGAAGAACAAACTAAGAAAAAAGCTATAATAATACGGTAGCAGTTTAATCCACAAGAAGATACACAGAAGATGACAAATAAATCTCTCGGTGTGTGTTAGGTCCGAATATTTAGTGTTTTTGTTGTTTTTGACAATCTTTGCGCGCTCGAACATTCGTGAATGAATCAACGTGTCCGTGTACAAATGTGTTTGTGTGACGTCATAGCTACATACACACATATCTATCATCCGGTTGTACTGGCTGTAGCTTTCATCCCCGCGAGAAGGGTGGCGATCCATGAGGTGGCGCGTGCGCAATGCCCCGTTGACGTCGCGACATGTCGAAGTTACGGCGCCAGCCGAGAAGCGCAAGCAGGAAACCAGGCCTGAGGAGCCAAAAAGATTCGGTTCTTCTCCTCGTCACTGTCTGTGTTCCTAAAGATGCGAGAGAAGCAGTGACAACCGGGATGAAACGACCGAAAGAAGCCATGGAAACCATTCGAAAACGTCAGTTCTCTTCGTTTACCAGATGAGCAGCCGCCGCCACTGCGCGGATCTTCCATCATCCACAATTCACATCGTGTAATTTTGTAATTTTCATTCCGTGTGCACTTCTCGGAGAGATTCCCGGCTCTCTTTCTTCCCATCGGCGGCAAGAAAAAAAGAGAAAGAGAAGAAAGAAGAAAAGCGCAAGCAAGGAAAGGAGCATTTTTTTGCTCCATTCTCTCTCGTTTTGTGCTCCGTTCCGATTGATCGATAGTAGCACTGACCTGCGTCCGGATAATTAAGTCACACGCAATTAATCACGACCTAAATAACGTGAGATTTGTATTACCACCTATAAGGAAGAGCGAAAGAAGAAGGAAAGAGACGAGGAAAAGTTTTGCCGAAAGGCCGGAGAGAATCTTTCTCAGACGTATGAGATTTCGTTTGTATGCCTTGGCCCACGTCCACGTATATGATGAAATTGCAGCTGCTCGTTATCGAGACGGACTATTGCTGGAGGAAAGCGTTGCTTAGGTAAGCACTTTTTTTTCCCGATTGCTTTGACCTGTATACGTGCTCTCGATTTCTGCTCATAGTAGCGTGTTACTCCGCTTTGGCAATTTTTTACAAACTGTATGATAGGTCTCGATTAGGTAAACATGATGCTGCTAAGAAAAATCTAAATTGCTTTTTCATTATTTAAAAAAGTATGTAGGAAATGGCTGCATTTGCACATAGAATAAATTTCTTTTACCTCTTCAGCTATTGGGTTAAATAATTTAGGTCCTTGATGAAGAAGAGGATATACTAATGAGAGATTTAAATTTAAATTATTTCATTATTTAATTTTATATATATATTTTTTTATATTGAGTCATTAAGTATAAAACTTGATAATTATATATATTATATATATATATATATATAATATACATATATGTATAATATATACAATAACAAATTATATACATATTTATGAAATTTCATAATTGATGATCCAATATGATAGATGCGCGCGTTAAAAATTATATGATAAATTTAATATACAGCGTAGTGTGTGTTTTATTTTGTGCTATCGTTGTGTGTTTGTAATAGTTTTATAGTTCTGTCGCAAGATCTGTATCACTGTCACTTATTTATCATATTGTCCATTACTTATTACAGTTACATTACTCGTTAACCGACCATCATACCGAAGAAAAGGATCGTGTATATCATATGGCCGCGTTTATACTTCCAACCAGATTTGCGATTTAACGCAAATGGCATTAATAAGAGCAATGTCAATGATGTATTCCATCCGCTTTTTCAATAAAGCAATATTTTCATCGCTAATTCTCTGTATCATCTTTCATTGCTCTCATTTCACTCTCATGTGCATATATACATACATATATACATACAGGCATTTTCACACGGAAAGGGGAACTACAATCTCATGTTGCCTGTGTCGTCACGACGTGATAACACAAAAACGTCAGAAAGTAGAAAGGCCGATCGATTTCTCATTGTGATAAATTAATGTTTATCGTTTCTTTGTGTAGACTGTAGTATATATATATATTTGTTATAATATTTAACATATAAAAAACAATAAAGAAACTAAACTTCAAACAAGTATCGTATCAACGTTAATAATTTTTCACATTGGCTTTTGGTAAATCATAAAATAATAATAAATAAAACTGATAATTTTAATTTAACTAACTTTTAACTTCGATATCACGAATCGGCACGTATAAAAGAAAGTGTATATTTTCAAATTTCGCGGATTTAGTTTATCGGTCAGTAACTTAGCGACAGGACGACCGTCGAGTAGCGCCATCTTCATCCGCTCTTTAATTCCACGAAACAACATTATACTTCTTATGTGTGAACAGCGAAACACAACGTGCGGAGCGTGCGCGAGCTTTAATTCGCCAACGGTGATCAGTGTGTGTGCGAGACGGCGGTGCGGACGAATGTGTGAGACAGAGTTAGATTCAACGAACAGCCGTTGGTAGTGTCGTCCGAGTGACACACACTGAACGAAACGGAGCGGAGTGGAGCGTATCGTGCGTTCGTCGTGTCCAACAACGTGCGTGTCTCGTGTATTGTTCGTTGTCGCGTGTGACCGATGAGTTTACGTTGTAAATCTATTTACGGGAGACCGTCGTCGTCGTCGTCGTCGTCGTCGTCATCGTCGTCGTCGTCGTCGTCGTCGTCGTCGTTGTCGTCGTCGTCGTCGTCGTCGACGCCAAAAGACGAACGCGAAGAGGAATCGTTTGCCGTCCAGTGCCCATGTAAAATCATTCACTAGACTGCCAACCCCTCCCCCGCTCCTCCGTAATACAGTTGGTTAGTTTCGTCCGTGTGTCGTTTGATGATTAGTGTTGGCCCTCTTTAGTTTCTCTCTCTCTGTCTGTCTGTCTTTTTCTGTCCGCGCTACGCTCCGTTTCTTTTCTCTCTTTCACTTCTTTCTTTTCTTTTTCCTCCTTTTTCTCTCTCTCTCTCTGTCTCTTTCTCTCGCTTTCTCTTCTCACTACACTTCGCGGATTCGCTACGGAAAGCACTTGGATGTGCATTTTGTTGGTTATGTTTCTCGTTACTTCGATTTGTGTATAGTTTCTGCGCTGGCGTTTTAAACACGGTATATCTTTTGATGCGTGCGTGCATATGTACGCATCTGTTGCGAGCGGGAGAGAGAGAAAGAGAGAAAAAGAGAGAGAGAGAGAGAAACAGAGAGAAGAGACAGTTCGTAAATGACATAGTAGTGCGTGTTGTACGTATATAAAAAATGCCTAAGTTAAGACTACCTGTCAAGGTCGAATTGCCCAGTGCTTTAACAAGGTATGGCAAGACCTAATTTACACGTATCAATATTTCTCTTATGACTTTATATATATCGAGTTCTGTAGCATATGTAATGTTCAGTTCTATGTTTAAGTTCAGAATACATGATTCTGGGAGTGGTGTTGTCGCCTCTGCCAAAAACTTTGTTTTGTATCTCATTAGTGTTCTTTTTTGGATCATTGCACCTCTTGATTTTACATTACATTTGTTACTTGTTTGTTTCTGCGTGTTTTGCTCTGATTTGTCTTAAGAGAATTCAGCGCAAAGTTCAATCTCTTGCGCTGTACGCAATAATATTATTTTTATCTATTTGTTTTTTTATCTACGTAACAATGTTATTTTACGTATGAGGGAGAGACTCTGCTGATTTCTCGAGCAAAACATATGTATGTATATCACAAGATGAACATTGTACTGTGTTCTTTTATTTCAGTTACTTCAGAGAGACATGACAGAGCAATTTTGCTACACGATATCGTATGCCATTTGCATATGTTGACACATTTCACACTCTGAATCATGGAATCCATTGCGATTATAATTTTTTCTTTACAGCAATTGTTGACTGTTTTAATTTGAAAAAATCTGTGTTGTATGATTTATTTTAAACGATCTAAATTCGACTGCGTATGTTTCTCGAGCGGATTTTGCTTTCTATATGATTTTTTTTTTTTTTTTTTTGCAATTGTGTACAAGTGGCATATCTTCTTAACGCGACATTTGTTATCTCATTCCAAAGATACGATATAGCACGAACGTTCTTTTGAGAAATATTTGTCAAGAGATTTCTTTGAAAGATGCTAAATACCATTTACTACCGAACGAAGATTTACACACAGTCGTTGCATCTCGCGTGATAATGAAAAAACTAATTATTCGTGAAAAAAGTGCGACGCATTTAATCCGCGATCTAACCGGATCGTTGGAAAATAACAACAGCTGCTGCACACAGATGTGAAATTTGAAACGAGAAGCGAAATCACACACACACACACACTCTCTCTCTCCCGACGTTGATTTTTTTTCAGAAATATTTTACGATTTCGCCGGCAATAATCGAAAAGAGAGATAAGATTTCCAATCCAGATTTGCAATCAGTTTGCGAAAATATCGATTTCAAACAATGGTTTTATAAAGATAAACGAGAGAAACGAGACCATGATTTAAAAGACGCATTTAGATATAAAACAAAAAAGATATTTAATTTACTCGACGTCTTTTCGTACGTTTTAAAGCCACCATTCGAACAAGAAAACCATTTACGATATTTGCTGTCTCTCATCCTTTCAATCCTCGAAGCGATTAAGCTCCTCCTTCTGCTAATTGAGTTTTACTCGCGGCACAACGTCTGTACTTACGACTATTCTTAAGGAAAATAGCCAGCCTTGACCATCACTTGACTATAGACCCGTGTTCAGTTCAGTTTCGTTTTATCTCGCGGCTCTATACAATATTATCTTTTTTGTCATCGAATTAAACGCCAAGACTATATTTCTCTAAAAAAAATCGACTTCATAAATTGCGTCGACGTAAGCCGGTTATTTCAAAACGTTGTACGTTTAACCTCGGAAAAGGTCTTATTTAAAATTGCTTCGTTTTTTATTTTAACAATTATCTACCACGCACAAGTATTTGTTAAGAAAAAACATCAGTTGGTAGGGCGGGTATAAACACGGCATTGTGCGTCGACAATTTCTAACTCTGAGTCGGGTTCTTTACGAGTGCTCGTTTCAAAATTGCCGCTTATCACACGTACATACAAGTTGCTACAGTCTATAGATAACACGCATTTTCAGAATTTATGGCATCATTATCGATCTTTTTTTTATCACAAGCATTATCTTTCAAAGGCTATATATAATGAACGTACGCGTGTGTGTTGTCTTCGGCAAATCGATTGTATGCTCTTTTCCATGGGCCAAAGTTAATACTGAATCGGCCGCGCGCGAGAACCACCTGTGTGTGATGAAAAGTGCGCGCGCACTTTCTCTCTCTCGTTGCCGTCGAGTACACGTGCACTGGAGTTTCGCCGTGCGAGCGAGAAAATAGAAGAGCGCAGAAATATCGCGCAACGCGCTTTTACGATCTCGGAGGATTTACGAAATTCTAGAGTTATATAGATCAGTCTTCTTCTTATTTTCGTCTTTGTGCATCTCTTGCTGCACCCGTTGTTTGTTTAAATATTGTGTACGCTTTTATTTGCATCTTATTACTCCAAACAAAAAAATAAAAACTCTCAATAGAAAGATCATTAATTTGTTGCTGTTGTATCGAGAGAATTTCTTACGTTTTCGAATGTGTTGTTTAAATTTTGAAATTTTCACGACTGATGAAAACTGCAGATATTAATTGTAAAAAAAACGTTCCGTTTATCAATATTGTAAATATATTGTTATTACTAATATATATAAAAAGTGTTTTTCGTCGCGGAAAGTCGATTATCAGTTAAAGTACAAGGATTATCGTAATCTTTGCACTTTAAAAGAAATAATATTTTTCGTTTTAACATTCGCGGGGATACAACTCGAGAGTCTCGTGCGTAAATGTCGGATTTTACAACGTCGTATTTTTGGCTTCTCAAGAGACCCCGCAACCAATTTGGCCTTTCACTTGATCTTGACAGAACAAGTCAGTTTACTTCCACCGACTGTAACAGTCGGATTGTTCGAACAGTGTGGATACTGTTTAATTTTGAAAGTTCG